CCCGCCGCTCCGGGCGGCCTCCGCAAGACCCCGCCCCGATGGGAATCCCCGCCCCTTCCTGTTCAGTAGCCGGAAGTGCCTTAGTGCTCCCCTTTCCACCTTCCGGCCTGACATCGGTCTCCGGCTTTTAGTTTGGCCTGGGGAAACTCTTCGAAGCAGGATAAGCGTCAGCACGTCCCGCCGTGAGACGGCGGACTTCCGGCGGTGCTTCGGCAGCTTCCGGCAGAGCCCAGGTCCCCCTCTGAAGCAGCTTTGCTCCCGAAGGCGACCGAGCTCCGGAGGTGTCCGGGGGAGTTCCAGTGTTTGTTGCGGTAATCTCATCAGCCCACCAAGATGGCGATGCAAGCAGCCAAGAGGGCGAACGTGAGTACCGGGCCTTTGCCGAGGAGGGCGAGGATTTCGCGGCTTGACTCGGCGGGTGGGTCAGAGCCCTGGATTTCTGTCCGGTCAGAGGGGCTTCTGTTCTGTTCATCCTCAAGGGGGCCCCCTTCCGCATCCTGGTGTCAGTCACGGCGCTGGCTCAGCGGGTCGGGTTTGACCTGCGCCTAAGACCTAGCTGGTAACTCGTAACTAAGTAACTGGTTCACAACAGCTAGAGCCCGAGAGGCTGGTCGCACCGTGGAGTTTTGGAGATCTTTCGTTCATATATTCATCCATCATTTTGAGCACCTACCTGCTGTGTACATTGGAGATGCGAAGTGATCCAGCATTTATTTTTACTGACATGCTGTGTTCAGACCTTAGTCGTTGGGATGGGGATATAGCAGTGAATAGACAAGTCATGCAAGGGCCAGGGATTTGGCTCAGTGGTTCTGCCGCCTGCCTTGCAAGAGAAGTCCTGCTCACAGTCTAGTTTTGGGGAGTGGAGTGTTTCGGAAACCTTTTAAAAATAAAATTTCAAGGAAGTAGGCAACTGTAAAACTCTTAGAAGTATACTGAGATGAAGACAGATAAGTGACTACTTTGTGCATTGAGATGATTTTTGGTGATCTTGGTGAGAGGAATAATTTCAGCGGATAGAAATTGGTTGCAGTAGGATGAAAAAGTGGAGGTTGAAAAAACGAAGACGGCAAAGAGCTCTGTGAGTTTTCATACAAATGAGTAGAGAAATTAGGTGAGAGTTGGCTTTAAAAAAAAA